ATGCAAAATGCCTCAACAAAATACTAGCAAATCAAATGCAACAATGTATACAAATATGTATACACCTCAATCAAGTGCAATTTAGTCCAGGTATGCAAGGCTGGTACAATATTAGAATATCAATTAATGTAATCCATACCATCAACAGGCTACAGAAAAAAAAATCACATGATCATATCATTAGATGCAAATAAAGCATCTGACAAAATCTAACACCTATTCATATTTGTGAAAAAATCTTAGAAAACCAGGAAATAAGGGGAACTTCCTGAACTTAATAAGAACATCTATTTTCAAAACCCAGTAACAAAAAAAAAAAAAGAAAGAAAGAAAGAAAAAAAAAAAAAAAACCAGCAACTAACATCATGTTTAATGGTAAGAAAATAGAATCTTTTCCATTAAAATCCAGAACAGGACAAGGATATCTCCTCTTGTCATCCTTTTCAATATCATACCGGATGTCCTAGCTAATGCAATGAGACAAGAAAATGAAATAACAGGAATACTGACTGGGAAGGATGAAATAACATTGTTTTTGTTTATCAATTACATGATAGTTTATGCAGAAAATCTGAAAGAATCAGCAAAAAGTTGGAACTAATAAGCAATTATAACAGTTGAAGGACACAAGTTTAATATACAAAAGTCAATTACTTTTCTATAGGCAGCAATGAACAAGTAGAATTTGAAATTACTAACACAATCCCATTTACTTTAGCACCCCAGAAACGAAATACTTATGTGGAAATCTAACAAAATATGTACAAGATTTATATAAGGAAAACTACAAACTTCTGATGAAATCAAAGAAGAACTACATAAATGGAAAGGTGTTCCATGTTCACGGACAGGAAGACCCAATATTATCAAGATGTCAGTTCTTCCCAATCTATAGATTCAACACAATCCCAATAAAAATTCCATCAAATTACTTTGTGGATATCAAGAAACTGGTTCTAAAGATTGTATGGAGAGGAAAAATACCCAGAACATAACACAATATTGAAAAAGAACAATGTTGGAGGACTGACACTACCCAACTTCAAGACTTACTATAAAGCAACAATAAGACACTGTGATATTGATGAAACAATAAACAGATCAGCAGAAAAAATAGAGAGCCTAGAAATAGAAATAGACCTACATAAATAAAATCACCTTATCTTTAAAATGAGGTGAGTGCAATACAATGGAGAAAATATCTTTTTTTTTTTTGAGACAGTCTTGCTCTGTCACCCAGGCTGGAATGTAGTGGTGCAATGTTGGCTCACTGCAACCTCCGCCTCCCAGGATCAAGCAATTCTCCTGCCTCAGCCTCCCCAGTAGCTGGGATTATAGGTGAGTGCTATCATGGCTGGCTAATTTTTGTAGTTTTAGTAGAGATGGGGTTTCATCATGTTGGCCAGGCTGGTCTAGAACTCCTGACCTCACGTGATCCCACTGGCCTCAGCCTCCCAAAGTGCTGGAAAGGATCATCATTTTTACAAATGGTTTTGGAATAACTGGACAGCCACATGCAAAAAAATAAATCTAGACACAGACCTTTTACTCTTCATAAAAATTGACTTAAAATGGATTACAGACCTCAATATAAAACACACAACTGCATAACTTCCAGAAGATAACATATGCAAAAATCCAGATAACCTTGGGTTTGGTGATGGCTTTTTAGATGGAATGCAAAAGCAACAATCCATGAAAAAAAGAATTAATAAGCTGAACTTCATTAAAAAATATTGCTCTGGTAAAGACACTATCAAGAGGATAAAAAGGCCACACACACTGAAGAAAATATTTGCATAAGAGACATATGATAAAGAGCTGTAATCTAAAATACACAAAAAAATCTTTAAAATTAAACAATAAAGAGACAAGCATTTCAAAAAAAAAAAAAGACTAAAGACCTGAATAGACACCTCACCAAGAAGATATATAGATGGCAAATAAACTTCTGAAAAGATGTTCCTCACTATATGTCATCAGGGATGTGCAAATTAAAACAATGAAGTACCACTATCGACTTTTACAATGGCCAAAATTCAGAACACTGACATCACCAAATTCTGGCAAGGATATAGAGCAACAGGAACTCTCAGCCATTTCTGCTGGAGATGCAAAATGGTACAGCTACTTTTGAAGACACTTTGGCAGTTTCTTACAAAACTAAATACACTCTTACCAAGTGATCCAACAATCTCCATCCTTGGTATTTACCCAAATGAGCTGAAAATGTATGTCCACACAAAAACTTGCACATGAATGTTTATAGCAGCTTTATTCATAATGACCAAAACTTGGAAGCAACCAAGATGTCTTTCAGTTGGCAGTTGGACAAATAAACTGTGGTACATGCAGGAATTGGAATATTATTCAACACTAATAAGAAATGACTTATCAAGCCATGAAAAGACATGGAGGAATCTTAAGTGCATACTACTAAGTGAAAGAAGGCAATATTCAAAGGTTACATACTGTATCATTCCAACTATACGACATTCTGGAAGAGGCAAACTATGGTACCAGTAAATAGATCAATAGTTTCCATGAGTTGCAGAGAGGGAGAGATGAACAGGCAGAACACAGAGTATTTTTAGGGCAGCAAAAATATGCTACATGATACTGTAATGGCGGATACAAGTCATTATATATTCGTCCAAACCCACAGACTGTACAACATCAACAGTGAATGCTAATAGAAAATATGAACTTTGGATGGTAATTATCTATCGATGCTGATTCATAGATTGTAACAAATGTACCACTCTGGTGGGGGATGTTGATAATGGGGATGGCTATGCATGTGGAGATAGGGGGTATATGGGAAATCTTTGAACCTTCCTTTCAATTTTGCTGTTAATCTAACATTGCTCTAATAAATAAACTCTTTAAAAATAAATTTAAATAAATGTAGGCTTTGCATGCTATATGACTTATGTCACAACTGCTCCAACCCAGCATTGTCCAGAACAGCCATAGACTATGGGCAAATAAATTGATATGAATGTGTTCCAATAAAACTTTATTCATAAAAAAGTCAGTGGGCCATATTTGGCCCATAAGTATAGTTTGCCATTCTTTGATGTGCACACTTGAACATGGTTTGTCTCTCTGGTTCTTGGCCCTCCATGAGTCTTTGGGTATGAGCTATCCCTGTCATAACTCCCCTGCCCCAGATTATTGGATTCGTGTCCAGGTAACCTCAGAAGAGGAAGATTTAGGTAAAACTAATTATGTCAAACTAATTATGTCACCTTCCGCTACCAAATCTGCTCTTCTCACAGTAGCCCCTATCATATTGATTGGCAACACTGTTCATTCAGGCATTGAAGTTAGATATCTGGTTGTTAACTTTAACTTATCTCACTCCTCACCTGCCAACTGGTTGACAAATTCTGTTGATTGCCCCCAAAACAATTACATCTTTCCCCTCCTCTCCCTCCCTTCATATCCTATCTTAGGCCTAGGCTCTTACCATCTCTTGGTTAGACTACTGTAATACCTTCCAGCAAAACCAGGCTACTTGCAGTCCCTCAAGTATGTTGTGCTGTTTTGCATATGTTTGCCACTACATATTTCCTTTTGCCTGGAATCCCCTCCTCCCTTAAATCCTACTCTCATCTCTTATCTTCTTGGTGAACTCCTAGTCATCATTCAAAACCCAACTTGGACTTTCCCTTTCACTCTTAATCATTGCCTCCTCAAAGCTACTTGGTTTAAACAGTATACCCTTGACAATCCCAAAATACATGTTTCAAGAGCCCCACATTAATGAATATTGGAAAATTTAAGTATACATGTCAGAACCTTAGGGCTCAAATAATTAATTGAGCTACTAAATATTGTAACTAAAATGAACTCTGCATTTCATTGCATAATGAATTTAGTAACATCAACCATAAAAATAGCTTAATCTGGAAAGAAACAATAAAGCTCTTATCACTTTAGGTAATTTACTGCATATATAACCATAAATAAAGAACAGAGAACAACCTTGTAGAAATACTTGCTCCCACACAGTAGTCACACAGAATGTGAATCACACATGCATCTCAGCAAAATCACAAATTTCTTAATGTAAAAGACCTTTGGAAAAAACAATGTGTGCCAAATCCATAAATGCCAAGAGCCTGCTATACTTCTATTATTGTACTTAGGTCAATGAACAACTATGGCCCCAGTTAGAACATGAGCTTCTTGATGTCAGGCCCACTATTTTGTCATTCTTTTTGTACCAAAGTTGATCTAACAGGAAGCAACCACTCCAAAAGCATTTGTTGAATTAAATTACCTCCTAATTGATCTTCCTACTTCCAGGCCATCTTCCTCTCCAAAATCATGCCAGTTATTTTAAAAAAACATATCTCTGATGTCACTCCATTTCCCCCAAACCTTTGATGGCTATTCATAATCCTGCTTTACAGGATTATGTCCCCATGCCCTGCTAGGACATATAAGAGCCTTCACACCATGGCCTCATATTCCCAGTCTCATTCTTAGCCTCTCCTCTTCACACACACTCTCTTCAAGCCACACTTGCTGTTCCTAGAACATTTTTGGACTTTCATTACTTTATGACTTTGTAAATGCTATTTCCTCTGTCTAAAAGGTTCTCCTCTTCTCATCTACCTGGACCTCTTGAATTTATCAATATAGCTCAGCTTAAATATCACTACTTTTGTAGCTTTACCTGACCCCTCTCAGAATCACTGTCTCCCTCATTTTTTTTAAATACCAGTCTGTTTATTCTAAAAACATACTAAGCTGATTCTGCGGGGAGGAAAGGGGGAAGGAGGGAGTGCCCTGTCAAAGGACTTACCCAAGCAGTGACTGCGGCACTACGTGTTAAGCATATTGTTTCAGCAGCAGTGGGAGGATGGGGCTGGATGGCCTTCATGCTATGAGACGCCATGGCTCGCATCTTTAACACTGCCTGTATGTGTAAGTGTAAGTGTGTGTGTGTGTCTGCGTGTGTGTGTGTGTGTGTGTGCGCGCGCGTAACTGTGTGGTGGGGTAGCAGGGAGAAAGAGAACGAAGGGGGAGAGAGAGAGACAGAAACAGAGAAGAGGGCGGACGCAGTGCAGTAAGAGCAGATGGGCGGACCCAAATTTCTTCTGCTTCACGATTTTGCAGAGGTCTAGCCCTGCATCCAGCCTTGAAGCAAGGGGTGGGGAGGAGACGGAAAGGGGAGGGAGTGCACTCCCTCTGAGCATGCTAGCCCCGACTGCCTGACGGATCACCCTTCAGCTCCAACATGGCTAGCTCCTCAACGCCCTGACTCAAGCCTATTGTGCCAGGCAGGGCGCACTCAGCAGTGCAGCCCCACAGGTGGCAGCGGCTTGGCGAGAGGGCTCCCGCCAGGCTAGGCAGTGGAGTGCCGCACAGCCCGCCTTCCCGCCTCCCAGCCGCCACCCAAGCAGTTCCGACCCAGCGCCAACAGGCCTGCTTGGTCGATCTTCGAGCCAAAGATGCGGCGAGGCTGGAAGATGGCTCTGTCTGGGGGGCTGCGGTGCTGCCGCCGGGTACTGTCCTGGGTGCCAGTGCTCGTTATTGTCCTCGTCGTGCTCTGGTCCTACTATGCCTACGTCTTTGAACTCTGCCTGGGTAAGTGGGGCTGGGCACCTAAGGTGGGGAAATTATGCTCCAGTATAATCGTTTGCCCTACCTTCACACTGTTCTCAAGCCTTCTCTCTGCGGTTTTCCTTTTGCTCCATAGAGAGTTCCTTGTCCCCAGCCTCTCGGTTCCCACGATATTTCCTGCGCCCTCCCACCAAGGTCCCACCCTGTCTCCATCGTCTCCCACCTAGGGTTTCTTATTTCTTTGCCCTACCCACAATAATGCCCTGGCTCTTCCCACGAGGGCCCCCTCTTGCACCTTGTGCTCTTCTTCTGGGGGGCCCCTGACTATACCTAGTTGAGGAAACAACATACCCTGTGTCTTTAAACTGTTTGCTGACACTAGGAATCTTACCAATGCATCCAACTAGCAGCCCCACCATTTTCCCTCCTACTAAAATCTTACTAGGATTTCCTGCTGGAGGTTTGCTACTGAGAGTCCCAAAATATTTCCTCTACTCTCTTATTAGCTTTCCTTTTTCCCACACTGGAATCTATCCTTTTCCTGTGATCCCCTCACACTGGCTGATATCTTATCTTCGTCCACTTATGACCCCACAGTCCACTCTATGCTACCCCATTAAGATCTTCCCTTTTCACACAGTGGTGAGCCCTCCAGATTTTTTCCCTGTGGGCTCTCACCATTTAATCATTTTCTATAATGGGACTGGGATTCTATAATACATCCTCTCCCATCACACTAGACGCCCTGATTATATTATACTAGAGTTCCCTCCAGTCTCCTGCCTTCTTGCTTTGAGGAGCATTCAACTTCTTCCTATTAGGAGCCCCACATTATTTTCTGACACCTCATACTGGTGACCCTGCTATTATTGTCACATGAGGATAGTGCCTTGTCCCATGTCTTCTACTAGAGTCACCTCTTTTATCCTCCCACAAGGGTTCCCATAATTTATCTCCTATCCCATCAAAGGGCCGCTACTTTTCTAATCATTATTCATATTTGTTATCTTTTTTTGGGAAACTCACTCCCCACCTTCCACAGTGTTCATTCACTGTTAGCCCCACATTCTGCCATCCTCTTCCTTTGGGATTTCTTATTATTTCCTCTTATTTCTCAATGGATTGCACTTGTCTCGTCTTCTCACACTGGGGAAACCCCATTCTTTCTTACTGGGGTTTCTTATATTTTCTACCCCTCCCAATGGGCATATCATTTCTCATTCTCTCTCATTAGACTACCTCGTTTATAATTATATGATTTTCTCTTTTACCCTGTCCTGTCACACTGAGGAGCACTCTATCCCCTCCTTATTTACTAATGGTGCTTGAAAATGGTTCTCACAATATAGCTTCTGCATTCAAACTCAGAATTCTACAATATTTCCTGACACAAACTCCAAGTCTCTCCCTTATGTTATTCCCACTTTCCACTTTAATTCCCTGCCTCCATTCACCATTCTTATTATTAATGGCCTTGCACTGCTCATAACAGCTCACAATGGCATTTTCATATTATATCCTGTCTTGTTACAATAGAGTCCCTGCTTTTCTCACGATGAAATTTCCCCTTGTTCCTGTCTTCTTACATTGAAGAATCCCTGTGTCCTCTCAAAAGAGATTCCACTAATACTTATTGTCACTTTGACACTAGAATTCCACTGCCAGCACCCTTGAACTTGTGGTCTACAGTGTTCCCTATTCATCTAGTGTGGGGCTGCAATATATTTTTACTCCTGTCACATTAGGACTTCTGTCCCATTGAACATCCCTCACTCCCACGTCCTTCTGAGGCTTCTTTATTTTTTCATACCAAACTCCCCACTTTAAAAATGATGGTGAGGATGCCGCTTTTTTTCAACTCCAGGACGACTCCATTTGTAACTTTCTTCTATTATGTATTTACAAAGCAATAGTCTACCCCAGGTAGACAGGGATAAACTAGGGAAGCAGAAGATGATCCTCTTTTCCAATATGGAACTTTCTACATTCTAATTATATAACCTGTATTCTAATTCTAATTAGCTCTGTGCATCACAATTTGAACTTTTCTTATCTCTTTCTTGGAGATATTATGGAAAATGCAGAAAGAGCTCTTAAAAATAAATTTCTTTTTTTCCCCATTTATTATTATTTATTGCATTTTAGGTTTTGGGTTACATGTGAAGAACATGCAAGATTGTTGCATAGGTACACACGTGGCAGTGTGATTTGCTGCCTTCCTCCCCATCACCTACATCTGGCATTTCTCCCCTTGCTATCTCTCCCCAGCTTCCCACCCCCCACCGTCCCTCCCCTATTTCCCCCCAACTGACCCCAGTGTGTAGTGCTCCCCTCCCTGTGTCCATGTGTTCTCATTGTTCAACACCCGCCTATGAGTGAGAACATGTGGTGTTTGATCTTCTGCCCTTCTGTCAGTTTGCTGAGAATGATGGTTTCCAGGTTCATCCGTGTCCCTACAAAGGACACAAGCTCAAAAAATAAATTTCATTAGCTGCCTTCATAGATACAAGTTAGCCTAGTTTTCTTTTGTATCTCAATCCAGTATTGGGATGCATTAAGTAGACTATGCAATGACTGGGAAGCTTTCCTATACTCAGACATCACGACTTTGGCTTTTTGAATGATTGATTGAAGGGTCAAAAGTTCAGCACCATTATTATGGTACGGATATTGCTCCTAGAATCAATGCCATATTGTAAGCAACTTATTTTGGAGTTTTTCAGTATTGACTAACATGAGCTTCACCAAGATATATTTAAAAAAATAAATGATGATAATGCCTAACACTTATATAGTCCTTACTCTGTGCCAGAAAATATTCTTAGTTCTTTAGATAGATTAACTATATATTAATTCATTTAATCTTCACAATATCTATATGAGGCAATTACCATTACTATATCCATTGTACAGATGTATAAACTGAGGCACAACAGATGAGCAAACCAAGGTAAAGACCGAGTTAGCACAAATAATTGGCTTTCTATAAGTTCTTCTTTAATCATATAATATTAACAGCTGAAAGGAAGCTTAGGACCTATTTGTTTTATTTTAGTTAACGTATTTTAGTTAACTTGCACTGCACTGCTACATGCCAGGTACTATTTCTAGGTGACTACACATACATACAGACAGACACACAGACACTTAATCTTTGTAACAACTTTCTAATGTATATACTATCATTATGCCCAGTTTACAAAAAAGTAAACTGAGGAACAGACAGAATAAGTAGCTTACCTAAGGTCACAGAGCTAGTAAATGGCTAGACTTAAAACCCAGGCAGTATGTTGCCACAGTTTCCTCAAAACTAATACAGAGATAAAAACTTGTAACTTACAAGCCAGATGTAGCCTTCAGATGTATTTTGTCTGGCCTGCACAGTGTTTTCTTAACATTCGGCTCAGTTTCCATTATTTAAAAGTCAGGTGAATAAGGTAGCTTTGACTTTCAACTCTGGCTCCACCAGTCCATCCTGCCATCATCAATTTAACAATCTTAACAAATCAGAAGCCTAGATTTCAGAAAAGTTAAATCAAATTTTCCTAAGGCCATACATTTAGTAATAGTGGATAGTTGGAAATCCAGGCAGCCTGATACCAAGGCCATACATTTTCCAATACAAACAAATTAACAGATTTGCATTTCAATAGGACTCAAAAAGTAACATTAAGGACCTTCTTTCCAGTTATAAAACCTGATGTCTTTCTCCATAACATTACATTAGAGTTGAAACAAAAAGTGATATTTTTGTCCTATAATTCTTACAGTTTGATTTCTGCCATTTACTAGCCAGGAGACCTGGGGCAAGTACCTTCACTCTCTCGACCTCATTGTCTCACTTGTACCTTGCTTCTACAGTTGTTCATCCACATGACAAATGGTTACTTAGCACTCAACACATGCCAAATATTACTGCAGTGAGGGTTAAATAACATGGTGCCTAAAAAGCATGCATCACAGTTCACAATACATTGTAAGAGCTCATTAGATAGTAACTTGTTATTACTAAAGATATAAAGGATTCTTCCTGACCTAGAAAAATAAGAAGCTTCAATTTTTAGAGAGGAAAGAAAGTAACAGTGTTCATTTTATTGGGGTGAAATTTATATAACATAAAATTAACCGTTTTAAGTATTCACCTCAGCGCCATTTAGCACTCACAATGCTGTGCAGCCATCAACTCTATGTAGTTCCAAAATGTTTTTGTTATCCCAAAAAGAAACCTCATAGGCATTAAGCAGTCACTCCCTGTTCCCTCTTCTCCCAAGTCCTAGCCAACTATTAATCTGCATTCTATCTCTATGGATTTTCCTATTATGGATGTTCCACATAAATAGAATCATAAAATATGTGTCCTTTTGTGTCTTACAGTTAACACAATGTTTTTGAAATCCTTCCACATTGTATTATGTAACAGTAATTTAATCCCTTTTAATGGCTAAATAATAGTCTATTGTGTATATATGTGTGTGTGTGTGTGTATATATATATATATACACACACACACACAAATACATATACATACACATACCACTTTGTTATTCATTCATCCATTGATGGACTTTGGGCTATTTCCACCTTTTGTCTTTTCTGAATAGTGCTGTTACAAACATTAATGTACAAGTATTTGTTTCACTATCTTCAATTCTTTTGAGTATATACCAGGGAGGTGCATGGAGATTATTAGGCTATGTGGTAATTCTATGTGTAACTTTCTGAGGAACCTCCAAACTATTTTCCACAGTGGCTGCACCATTTTACATTCCCATCAGCAGCACAGAAATGTTACAGTTTGTCCACATTCTCACCAAGACTTGTTATTTTCAGTTTTATTTTTATTATAGCCATCTTACTGGGTGTCAAGAGGTATCTCATTGTGGATTTGATTTGTATTTCCCTAATGACTAAAAATATTGAGGAGCTTTTCATGTACTTGTTTTCCATCCATTTATCTTCTTTTGGAAAATGTCTATTCAAGCCACTGTGCATTTTTTAATTGGGATTTTTAAATTGGGTTATTT